TTGTCTTTCTCTAACTGGCTTATTTCACTTAGCATAATAATCTCCAGGTCCATCCATAATGTCACAAAGAGTAAGAGCTCCTTTTTTACAGCCACATAGTATTCCATTGTGTAAATGTACCACAGCTTTTTGTTATTGTTGTTAATCCTCACCTGAGGATATTTTTTCCATTGGTTTTTTAGAGACAGTGGAAGGGAGGTAGGGGAGAGGGAAGGAAGGAGGGAGGGAGGGAGAGAGAGAGAGAGAGAGAGAGAGAGAGAGAGATTGATGTGAGAAGGCCCTCTTACCCCTGGTCCCTGGCCAAACATACATCGACTGGCTGCCTCTCGCTCCCACCCCAACTGGGGCTGGGGAACAAACCTGCAACCCAGGTATGTGCTCTAAACTGGGAGTCAAACCTATGACCCTTTGATGCTTTGGCCAATGCTCTAACCACTGAGCAGTGCTAGCCAGGGCTGTACCACAGCTTTTTCATCCACTCATCTACTGATGGGTACTTGGGCTGTTTCCGGATCTTGGCTATTACAAATAATGCTGCTATGAACATAAGGGTGCATATATTCTTTCTGATTGGTGTTTCAGGATTCTTAGGATATATTCCCCAGAAATGGGATCACTGTGTCAAATGGCAGTTCCAATTTTAATTTTTTGAGGAAACTTCACACTGTTTTCGACAGTGGCTACACCAGTCTGCATTCCTACCAGCAGTGTACTAGGGTTCCCTTTTCTCCACATTCTCACCAGCACTTGTTTGTTGTTTGTTGATTTGTTGATGATAGCCATTCTGACAGGTGTGAGGTGATATCTCATTATGGTTTTAACTTGCATCTCTCTGATGATAGTGGCATTGAGCATTTTTTCATATGCCTATTCACCATCCCTTTGTCCTCTTTAGAGAAGTGTTTATTCAGGTCCTTTGCCCCTTTTCTAATTGGATTGTTTGTCTTCCTGGATGTTGAGTTTTATGAGTTCTTTGTATTTTTTGGAAATTAACCCCTTATGAGATATATCACTGGCGAATATGTTCTCCCATACAGTGAGTCCCCTTTTCATTTTGTTGGTTTCTTTTGCTGTGCAGAAGCTTTTTAGTTTGATGTAGTCCCGTTATTTATTGTTTTCCTTTGTTTCTCTTGCCCTAGGAAGACCATCAAAATCTTTCACCCAGATTATTCCAACAGCCACCAAATGGATCTCCTAGCCTCCAGTTTTGCCACCTTTTAAACCTTCACATTCCAACCAAAGTTCTCTCTCTAGAATACACATCTGATCATGTCATTCCCTGGCCTCAAACACTACTATACTGTACAAACTTCAGTGTGCATAATAAATGACTTGGCAATGTTGTAAAAAAAAAAAAAAAAAAAAAAATTACAGATTTGGGGACTTTAACCCAGTGATTTTGACTTAGTAGATATGGGGTAAAATATAGGAATAAGTATTTTTAACAAGACTCCTACGTGATTCTGAGGTAGGTAGTCATACTTAAAGGCATGATGTTTAATGGCTCCCCAGTTCTTCTCCAATAGAATTCAAACTCATGTCTTCCAATGCCTTGTACAATCTGGTACTGCATACCTTTCCAGCTTCATTAGTGACCATCACCTCCTATACCCTAGGCTTAAGTTATACTGAATTTCCCCCCATTTTTAAAGAGAGCATACCCTTACTATACCCTTTTCTACCCTGTTGGTCCTACCCCATCTATCTATCCCTTCCAATGAACCAACCAAACACTCACAATCTTCTGCCTTGCTAATTCCTATTTTCCTTTCAGTTTAGACATCAATTCCTCTAGGAAGACTACTAATTATCAAGTCTGAGTTAAGTACCCTTTCTAAGGGCTACCATAGCCTCCTGTATTTTCCCCTATCACAGTATTTATCTAAAGTAGTCTACTGACTTGTCCTACTGAATCACTGTCTTCTTCTCCAGTGAATCTTCCGGTGCTTAGCACTGTACCTGACATAGAGTAGACACTCAAAAAAATATGTACTGCATGAAAAAAATGAGTAACTTTTACTTAGAAGAAGTATGAATGAAGTTAAGAGAAACAGGCTAAAAATTTTTATTTATGCAATGGAAACTATGTATACCAATGAACAAATGACAGGAGGAATGACAGAAAAATAACTATAGTAAATGAACTAGGAAGAAAATGAAAAAAAAAAAAAAAAACTTGAATAAGCAATTCACAACAAAAAAAATCCAAATTGCCCGGCTTTTGTGGCTCAGTGGTTGAGTGTTGACCCATGCACCAATGGGTTGCCAGTTCGATTTCTGGTCAGGGCACATTCCCAGGTTGTGGGCCCCATCCCCAGTGGGGGGCATACAGGAGGCAGCCAATCCATGTTCTCTCTCATTGATGTTTCTATCTTTCTCCCTCTCTCTTTAAAATCAATAAAGAAAAAAAAACTTTTTTTTTAATCCTAATGGCCAATAAGGATAAAAAAGATATTTATTCTCATTATCAACTAGACAAATGCAAATTAACTAAAGATATTATTATTCCATACCCATCAAACTAGCAAAGATTTAAGTCTGAAAATACCAACTTTTGGCAAGGATGTAGAGAAATGAGATCTCATACTGTGGATGGAAGGGTAAGCTGAAGGTATATTCCTAGCAACTCTATAATGATGTCCTTTTAACACTGTTTATAATAGTGAAAAAAATGGAAATAATCTAAACGTCCATCAGTAGTGGTATATGTGTAAATGGAATACTTTGGAGCATTTAAAAATAAATTAGTTACACATATGAATATGGATAGTTCCTCACAAAAAAGAATAATTAACATCAATAGTGCCAATGTTGAAAAATCAGGAGTAAAAAACAAAGGACTGAACACAGAAGAAAAGCAAAGGGTAATGGGGTAACTATCATTTGGTGATCCTAATCTGCTATTTTTCCAACAAATTTCTTGTCATTAAGTTTGATTCATGATCTATTAAGCTACCATTTCTCACTTTATACAAATTAATTAAAATAAAAATTCTTTCAGCTTTAGCAGTACTGACTGCAAAGTGGTATCTTTTTAGCTTTCTATACAGTTGTTGAGATTGTAACTTTTTTTATTCTACATTAATATATACAAAATCCTGAAAATCATTCAAATTAATTTCATGTTTTAAAATTTCACTTAAGCCCTGGCCGGTTTGGCTCAGCAGTTAGAGCATCCGCCTGCGGTCCGGAGAGGCCCAGGTTCGGTTCCCGCTAAGGGCATGTACTTCGGTTGCAGTTTGTCCCCGGCCCTGGTTGGTCGTGCGGGTGGCAGCCACTCGATGTGTCCCTTTCACATCGATGTTTCTCTCTCTCTCTCTTCCTCTCTCTCCCTCCCACTCTGTCTGTACAAAAAATGGAAAAATGTCCTTGGATAAGGATTAAAAAATAAAATTAAATTAAATTAAAAAAATAAAATTTCACTTAAATGATACAATTTTCTCCGACCATGTATCTATAGTGAAGTTATTTCTTCATAAGGCCAAAGAGATGGTTCTAATAAATTAAAATAATTTAAAATGCTGAGTTTCTAATAAAAGGCATAAATTCATTACTTTTTATTAACATATTCCTAGGCAGAGCTTCACATTTATTTTTATTAAATGGAATGTCTTTAAAATTACCTGACAAATCTTTAACATGAGATTCATGCTTTCTAACACCAATTAACATTTTTCCAAAAGCCCAGCCAGTGTGGCTCAGTTGAGTGTCGACCCATGCACCAAGAGGTCACCGGTTCGATTCCCGGTCAGGGCACACACCCAGATTGTGGGCGAAATCCCCAGTGGGGGACATGCAGGAGGCGGTCAACCAATGTTCTCTCTCATTAATGTTTCTATCTCTCTCTCCCCCTCTCCTTTCCTCTCTCTCTAAAATCAATAAAGAAAAAAAAAATACTTAAAAAAAATGTTTCCAAAGCATTTATGGTGCATTTGATTAAATTTTTAATGTTAGTTCATCCTAACTGCAATACAACTGAAAATTCTTCAAAAATGCTAATCATTAAAACAAGGTCTTGCAAGAAATCAATGTTAGCTAATCCCTTTGCCAAACCAGAATTTAAAATATTAGAAAAACACATATATAATGAAGGATATGCCTGACACAGAGCAGTGGCAGTTTGAAAACTACATGTTTCCTATCTCAAACATAGTACTTGTCCAGTTTTAATAACTTCAATTTCAAATTCTTTAGCTACAGTTTCTAGCTTAATTTTATTTTTACTGGATTGGTGATAAATAGAATAAATTTTATTCAGGATATTTTTAAACAATTGACTTATTTTATTTTAGGTATTGAATTGCAATCAATTATTTAAACAATGCCAAATGATGACTTCAGGAAAATTTTCTAACAAATTTGTAGCTACTCCAGACTTCCTTCCCACTACTGTATAAACATCATTACAACAAAAATGCAATTACGTTCACTTTCAAATATTCATTATCAAAACCACAATCTTTTAAAGTAGACAATAATGAATTAGAAATACACTCTGCTATGGCTGATACCAATTCTTTTTTTTGTGTGTGTGTGTGGTACGTGCCCCTAGTGGGAACCGAACCCGGGACTCTCTGGTCCACAGGCTGACGCTCAACTGCTGAGCCAAATTGGCCAGGGCCCAATTCTTTTGAAGTAACAAATATCATCACCAGTATAGAAACTCATTCAATTGCATACTGAAGATTAATCACTAAGTGCTTTTCTTTTAAAGTGTAGATACCTAATCAATGATAGCACGTATCTGTCATTCTCTTCTTAGATATTCTGAAATATCTTCATCTAATTTTTGCAATATATTCTGTTGTTCCTGTTGCACTGTATCATGTATGTAAACAACTGTTTATATCTACTCCATTTTTCTCTTTTACTGTATTGCCCCTTCACTATCAGACAAAGACCTATTATGTTTTACTAAACTATAAAGAGTATTAAAAACTACTATGATGGTATTAACATCTTAATTTATTTATACAATAAATTGGAAATTGAGTCATTAGATGCTCCCTTCGGCAGCACATATACAAAAATTGGAACGATACAGAGTTTATTAGCATGGTCCCTGTGCAAGAATGACATGCAAATTCGTGAATAGTTCCATATTTTAGGAAGAAAAAAAATGAGTCATTAGTTGATTCATGTAACAACTCTTGAATTCTAGTACAGTCTTTAAAAATATCATGTTCTTTTTTTTTTTTGCAGAAGTTTGCCTACTCGTTTTATTAGTATCATTTGGTGTTACTAAATATGCCCTCCATTCTTGCTTTCTTGCTGTCACTCCTAAATGCTGAACTAGCAAACAATCCTAATATATCCATTCTTTTATTTGAAGCCATTTGTACTGTTCTGAAAACATTCCTTTTAGAGCCAATTTCATACTACAAGTGTGACATCTCTGAACAGAGTTGGTAAGAGATGCATACTTTAGTCAGTATTTCCACCATACAGACAACCTTAAGAGCAGAGTTATTAGTAAAATGAAGTTAAAAAAAGAATGAAGAGCCCGGCCAGTATAGCTCAGTGGTTGAGCATCGACCCAAGAGCTTGCCGGTTCGATTCCCGGACAGGGCACATGCCTAGGTTGTGAGCCTGACCCCCAGTGGGGGGTGTGCAGGAGGCAGCCAATCGATGTTCTCTCTCTCATCAATGTTTCTATCTCTCTCTCCCTCTCCTTTTCTCTCTCTCTCTAGAATCAATAAAGAAAAAAAAAAAGAAGAGTTTTAAGTATTTACCTGTTCTTAACATATTTAACTATAAAGTTATAAAATTTGATTTTTAATAATTCCCTCATGAAAATTTAGCAATCAGCCTTGCAAACTGGTAAAAGCCAACTGAGTGTACTAACTCTGTTTTCAAAATGGCACTAAGGGAGGCTTTGGGAGAGCAAGTAATTGCCTAAGTTGGTAAGTCAAGATTCAAATCTAGGTCCAAAACTCTGACACAAGTTAGGTTTCTTGGTGAATAAGGGCCATTATTGGCTTTTTTTTTTTTTTTTTTAGAAGTTGGGGCATATACTGAGGTAACTCTACATGCAAGGGGATGCATTTTCTGAACTAACATCTTATATTGATATTGCATACTCTTCTACATTCCCATGCTGACTGCCAGTTTTGCCAGAGTCTTGATGTTTGATACCTATCCAGAAATCAGTCTAGGCTGGATACTTGAAGGAAGAGGGAATAACTGAGTGGTCTATCCATCATCTACTGTTGGAAATTTCTCTTTTTGCCTGGTGGTGTGGCTCAGTGGATTGAGTGTCCTCTCATGGACTGAGAGGTCCTGTTTTGCATCCCAGTCAGGACACATGCCCAGGTTGTGGACTCCATCCCCAGTAGGGTGCATGCAGGAGGCAGCTGATTGATGTTTCTCTCTCTCCCTTCCTCTCCCTCTAAAAAATCAATAAAAACATATTTTTTAAATTTTTTTCTTCTTAAAACATTTCCTTAACTGTTTTAAGAAAAGTAAATACAGGTGTTTACTACCACCAGCCTCTTATAGTACTACATGAATTCGGAAAAGCTTCAGAAAACTTGTCTGAAACCTTACCAGGGCTGCAGGAAAAGGAAAGGATACTATCAAAGGGCACTCTTCAGTCCCAGGGAACGGGGGCAAGAGTTTGGGGACAGGATGACCATGTGCTAGGCCTCTTAAAGTTCTCTAAACCTTTCATAGCTCCTATTCTAACAGCTGTGTGAAAGGTTAGAGCTGCTGGAGAACTTGGGGATCCGCCCTTGTCCAAACCCTTCATTCATAGAAGGAAATTCTGCTCTAGTGGGGTTAAAGGCAGAATTAATTTATAGCTCTTTCCACTCCAAAACACGGCTTCCTCTAAAATACCCTCCCTGCAAAGAAATCACAAGGAACCTGTTTGGGGACTGGCCTACAGCTGAACCTAAGACATACCTCGCAGTCGCTCCTGAGTCAAACTGCCGTAACTCCAAGCAGAGCTAATTAAGGTCAAAGTAGAGAAGCACAAAGCCCGAGGCAGTTAAGACACACGGATTCCTCAGAGAGCAGCACCAAGGCGCGGCCCCAAGGAGAAGCTGCCCGCCTCTCACGCGGCCAGCAAGGCGCGCCTCGGAGCAACGCGAGCAGCCGCGAGGGCAGGCACGCTGCCGGCGGCGCGCACGCTTGCCCCGAAGCCGCAGGGTAGGCGGGCTGGCGTGCGCGCGCCCGCGGCGGTGGGCGGGGCTCGGGGCGGGGCTCTGAGCCGGAACGGGGCGGGGCCGCAGGAGCTGTAGGTGCTGCAGCTAGGTTGAGACAGGTGCGCGAAGCAGAGCGCCTGGCACCCGTGGTAGGGCTGGTAGCAGTGCAGAGAAAAGACCGCTTTTAGCAAGGTAAGGGCCTTCTCTCTCCACATCCTCCACAGCCGGAAAGTGCGCGGAGACCTCGGTTTCCCTCCACACCTTCTTTCTCCTGCGACTTCTGGGGCGGGGTGAACACAAGGAGAGTGAACCCCTTACCCTCGGAAGAGGGAGTGTTGAAACCACTGATCCTCTGTTCTCTCCTTACTTTTGAGTAATGATCTGGAGTTGGAAGTAATTATATAGGGCCGAGCTTTTGCCGCCTGAGGGAGGGAGCTGATAGGAACTCCCTCTTTTTTAATCGGGAACACTCCTTTCTAACCATATATTTTTTGGTGTGGTGGAGGAAGGTAGCAGTTCATCTGAATTCAAAAGAATCTCCCAGGAAAATAGTATGATATTCAAGTGCTCATTTCCCTTCTTTATTTTCAGCCATTCCCTCCCTCTTTGATTTTTCTACCCTTCCTTTCTGCCAATTGAACTCTGTTTAAGACACTTACTATATTTTGGGGGGGTATGTTGAGAATATAGCAGTCCTTGCAGCTGGGTGTATTATCCTCGAATCGCTATCGTGTATATATTGCTGGCACCTGTCACCAACGTACCTAGGTGTTAATATAAGGTAACTGTACACCCCTGGCTACACCTACTAAACTTGAAGTTGTAGGTGCTAGGAGCAAACCATCTGGCGCTCGTCCTTGCCTCCTTCTGGTGCTTACAACGAGTTTAGCTGATCCTGGTGAGAGATATTTGAACTACTATTGTCTTTCACTTAACTCCAGCTTTCAAAAGCCTGCTTAATCCAGATGGTTCTATCAACTTGACTGTTTTAGTCAAGGTACTTAGAGAGTTATCAACCTTTAAGACAATGCCCCTTTAGGGGAGAGGTCTTCTTTTGCAAGAGGTGGTCATTCTTTTGCTCTTGATTTAAGTGGTTAAATAGAATACTTTTTATCTGCATAGTTACTAATACTATTCACAAATGATAAATATTTTAGGAACCTTGAAATAACACCTTTTTCTGAGGTCTGATGTATACACAAAAGAAGAGGACCCTCAACAAACATTTCTAAGTTCCCGTGGAGTTACAGCCTGGATGAAGGATGATCATGTTTTAAATAGACCTTTAAGAAGTTACAGAGTTAGCAGAAGAGAAGGTTTTAAAGGGGAGGTAGGGGAGGTGTGCATGCATATATATTTCTTTGTTTTGCACCAATAGAAAAACACATAACATGGCGATAGGTAATTTCTTTAGAAACTTATTTTATTTTTTGGACAAAACATTTATTGGGTGCCTCTTGTTTTGTCAGTCCTGCTGTGGGTTCAAAGTTCCAAATGTCCCTACTATAAAAGAGCTTAAAATCAAATGGACTAGGCAGATCAGTGGATACAATTTATATTAGAGAGGTCAATACTATAGTAGAGATCAGCCCAGAGTCTGTGGGAGCACAGGGAGTAGTTTTTTTGGTTCTTGTTTTTTAAATTCTGTCTTCTAGGTTTCCTGGAAAAAAACAAACAAACAAACAAACAACCACACTAGTAAAAACTTTTGAGTAATAGGGTTCTCTTCAATTCATGAATTTGTATTATTCATAGTTCTTATCTTGTGTTCTGCCAACATTATGGCCTTTTGAAGATGGGATTAGGTCCCTTGTTAATTCTGTAGCAGTTCAGTAAATAGTTGGTGGAGCTGTTTTCACTGTTCTGTAATGGGCCTGGAAGGGTTGTTATCAGGTAGTCCATAAAGTGTAGAGCTAGAGAGTAGAGTATTGGCAACATTAGTAAAGCAGTGCCATTTTGTAAAAATTACTCCATTGTGTAACTTTATTTAAGCTGTTACATTCAGACTTTGTTCCAGACTCTGGTTAAGGTGGGCCAAATTTTAACCTTCTAATAATTCTAAGAAGAGAACACTTCAGAAGTGGAAACAATTCTATTAACAGCACACCTTAGTAACAGAGGATACTTTTTCTTACTAAGGTGTTCATAAAATGTATTTTTCTTTCTTTTTTCTTTGGAGGTGGGGATAGGGTGAGTGTATGGGTGGAAAAGGAAAGGGTCAGAAGTGTTTGAAGATTCTTTGTAGAGTTTTGATGATCTGAAGTCTGTAGTAGAATTGAGAGCTCTTCAGATAACTGCCGGCTGTTTTTGCCTACTACGTGCTAGTGTTCTAGTATACAGAGGATGAGCATGACATGGTCCCTTCTCTGTGACTATGTTTTTTATTTTTAAGTAGAGATTGTGAGTTAATAACGCAGATGGTGGTTGTTTCATGTGGTAATTTGAACCATGGTGCTTGTTGAACACGTTTCTTTGGCGTTGCTTACCTCCTTTCTTTCTGTTTATACTCTAGGAAAGTTGTCTCTGCCAGCAATTTTTAGAAAGGCAGTAGGTATATTTGCATGTAATTTGGATACCTACAATGATTACGTTGTTTTCATTCAATGTGTTCAAGTAGAAAGGGTCTTCAAAGATACACAGACAAAAAAGAATGTTAAGAGCATGGGAGATCATTATACATGTTTGCCATAAAAGGCCACCTAACCACAAATTGGGAGAATTTCTCATTATTTATGTTGATCATGAAACTTGTTTAAGGCATTCTTAATTCCATACACTCAGATATAGATGACTTTCATTGTACTCTTTCTGCAGATAGAAAAGTGTGTAACTTGGATCTGAAGTCAGGAATTTCCATAAGAAAAGACTGTTAGTTTTGTGTTTTTTTTAAGGTCGCTATGGTGTTACACTGTATTTTTTTTATAGGAAGTTAAAGTACTTTATTTTGGATTGTGTACAGTAATCTCTAGGTGATGTTAAATTACTTAACACAGACTCTCAAGGTTCTTTAGTAACAAATGAGTGGTTGTAAATTGAGTAGTTTCTACTAAATGATCATGGAATTGAGATTCTATGCTAAATGGTACTCTAGGTAGGATCATACTGATATGTTTATTCTGTGGCTGGATGCAAAGTCCTTGAGACTCAGTCAAGTTGTGCAGATGCAGACCTCTTTTCATAAAAAGGACAAGGTTTGACCCAACAAGCAATTCATCATTCAGCATGTCAAATGATTTCTTTAAACTTGAAAATGTTTCTGGAGACTTCACATGTCCAGTCATAAGAAGTTAACATGTATGTTACCATGAAAATATACATTCTTTTTATTTTCTTTCAAAGAATTTCTTAACATTGCTACTCTGAAATTAAGAACTTTAATATTTAGAAAAAATGCAACCTTCTTGTACTTCTGATAAGTGTGGAGCTATTTTTTGACTTATTTATCCTATAACAAAGCTTACTATTTGAAAAGCCTTACAATCGCTCAAACAAGTTTTCTCTTGCATGCCAAAGTATTGCCAATTTTTGTTTCCTGATATGCTTTTATTTGGTTTTAGATTTCTACACATTTTTCTTAAATTAAGCAAATGGCCCAGGCTTTTCCTCAGAGTCAGTTTTACTTAACAGGTAATATTTGCTCAGATTTGGCTTCCATCTTCAGCACTGGAGGAAATCTGTCTATCTATGCATAGTAGCGAGTGATTTCTCTCTAATGGCCATCTCACAAATATGCATTCACATTTAGAAAATAAGAAGTACGTATACTAATTATAAAATCCTGGGAAACATTAATTATAAAGAAGATAAAATATTTTATAATCTGTACTAGAGAGAACTATAATTTGGTGTATTTCCTTTCAGTCTTTTTTTCTTTAATACACACAAACACACACTAATTGAGTTCATACTATTACAATAAATACAGTTTTGTATCTACTTTTTTTCTTTTACTTTACATTATGTCATAATTTTTCATGGCATCAAAATTACTTGAAAACAATTTTAGTGGATGTTTAATACCATATTGCACTTTTCATAGCGAAACTATCCTTAGCGTTTTTCTTTGTGATTTGTGTATAAGCTCTTCTTTTTAAGAATATCAATTCTTGCCTGGCCAGTGTGGCTGGCTCAGTGGTAGAGTATTGACCCATGCATTGGTTCGATTCCTGGTCAGGTCAGGGCACATGCCTAGGTTGTGGGCCAAATCCCCAGTTGGGGGCATGTAGGGGGCGGCCAGACGATGTTCCCTTTTATCGATGTTTCTGTCTCTCTCTCCCTTTCTCTGTGAAATCAATAAAGAAAAAAATTGTTTTTTTAAGTATCAATTCTTTTGTTTAACTAGTTACTTGCCTTTTAATTTTGTGCACGGTATCTTATTACTTATCTATAGATCATTTTCTTTGGGATTTTTTTTCTTACTTTCATGCTTAAAAGTCTTTTGTTACCCAGAGGTGGATAAAGTATTCGCTCCGATTTGCTTCTAATTTTTATGGTTTTACTTTTTTATATTTAATTTTTAAATTTGTCTTAAACTTACTTTGGAATACCAAACCAGTATGTTTAGTGCTTTTGCATATCTCTGGGCTTCAGATCCATATTTCCAACTACCTGGTAGACCATGTGGATAGTCCCTATATATCAGGCACCTGCATCCACCTAGTTTTCCTAGGGAGAAAGCTTAAAGTTGTCTTGAACTCTTCAGTCCTCCTCTCTTCCCACATTTAATCACCAACATTGGTTGATTTTACCCCAAAGAGGTGATAATGCCTCTTTCATCATTCTTCTAATTCAGATCCCCTTTTTGGGTAGAGTTCCTGAGCAATCGTTAGATTTGGCTTCAGTTTTTCTTTTTCAGTCCAGAGTTGTCATAAAAAAAATAATAAAAAAAATAGAACACTGATTTTCAAAGTGTGGTTCCCTCGATTACCTGGGGTGTTGCTTAAAAAGGTAGATTCCCAGGTCCTACCTAAATCTATGAATCAATATATTTAAGGGATGGGGCCTGGAAATCTGCAGTTTCAATAAGTACCTCAAGAGATTAATTTACACACTTAAGGCAAACTAATGCCCACGTCAATTAAGTCTAAGTTTCCCTGCATGCCATTCAAGACCCCCAATTCCACACCCTGACAGCCTATTTTTCTAGGCTTATCGCCCACATCACTACCCACCCACCTAGCACTGTAGTTATA